ATTCAAACGTCATGTTTCAAAGAATATTTTTCAGGATGAGAAAGACAGACACATTAAAAACATGTAAAGCGTGTCTTATCGCCCAAAAATTTTAAAAGACAAAAGTGATTTACATGTTTTTCTTATGACCAGTCAAGATCAAATGATGCTCTTGTTATTTTTTTTTAAGTTGTGTTCAACTCTAAATCAAAATGGGGGAAAATGCCGTACGGAGCTGTAATGCATTTTGAATATTTATTTCAAAATGGGGAAATTACCAGACAATTAACACTGATTGATAAGACTCACAATGATAAAAAAAAGTAAAGAATATTCTTGTTTATAAATAATTTCAGCGATTTTAGGGAGTGTGGTAGGTCATTGTATATTATTAGCAGAAAACAGGAAGACCGAAAGAAGAGACGTCGGAAGGAAACGTTCAACGTTCAATGGCGTCTGATTTTGTCAAAAGACATCGTGTATCTGTAAATGTATACGGACAATGTCTTATTATCCTGTTCAAGGTTTGACAAAAGACTTTATCATGAAAAGAGTGAATCTACAATGGTTACCAAGAATTCATTTTGTTTCAGATTCCTAGAAAGGTTTCAGTATGACAAGTTTTATGGCTGTTTTCTATATTTCATCGGATGTAATGTTTCAACGAAACTTTCCAATTATTTAGTCTGAAGAAAAGCACATCTAAAAACAACTCAGAAAGATCGATGGGCGAAATTTAACTATCATGGGTGAACCACATGATATGAATGCGACAAAGGACATTCTGGAAGAAGCAGGACCTGACGGACCACCTTTAATATCTCAAGAAAAGGTATTTAACGAGTTTATCAGGGTTGCCATTCCGGTCACCTTTTCCCGAGGATTTCCACTAAAATGGATAACATTTCATATACAGTTATTTGACCAGTTCCGAATAAGAAACCGATTCGGCGGTGTCATAAATATACTAGGCATTATTTCAAAATCCAAGTGTTTTGTCAAGGTAGTTCGATGACTTGTGGAATAAAGTATTTTTTCATAAAAGTTCAGCCTTCCCTCAAAAAAAATTATTTCGCAAGTTACCATAGGTGTCCATTTTACTACTTACGAATAAGACGACGAGTTCCGGATACCCTAGAGATTCTTATTCAATTCAACCCTAAATTTAAAAATATACGTCCCAGACGTTATCCATTGACATGCCTAAGAGAAGTTAAATAAGTTGCTTACCAAAAAGTTATTTGTATTTTTAAAGGTTGAAGAGAAACTAGAGGTACTGTGGGCACTGAGCTCATTTTAACAAAGTCCATGTTTTGCTCTGGGAGACCCAAAATATATGTCAGATCAAAAAGTTGAATAAAAAGGTCACAATGTCACAATGTAATAAAGAATCTGTAAAAGCATCATTTAATCTTATTCAGTGGTATAGGAGGAATTGTAGATAACAGATGGATATAACTTTCAATATTACAAAGAATGTAAGTAGCTATGTTTTCCTCAAGGAACCCAAATTATGTGCCAGATCCAAAAATAAAATAGCTGCACTTTGACACCCTTGAACAAAGATTATGTGAAAGACTCATTTAATCTGTGAAGCCTCATTAAACTTCATTCAGTGGTACAAGAGAGGTTCCGGATAAGAAACGGATACCCCAGGATGTATCAGACGGACGGACGTACAGACGAATGGATGGATGGCCAAACATCACATTACTATATACCCCTTCCTCCTGTTTTTCAAGCGGGGGAATAATAAATCACGTTTACAATGAAAAAAAAAACCGAAGAGTTAATTTATAATAGTGTTTAAAATGAGTATTCGGAACTGGTAAAATAAGAGCACGAAAATCTTTCGATATCTTCCAGTGTTCTAAATATTTATTTTTGACATTTTTTTAGTATATTGACCCGTTAAAAGATCGGAATATTGCACGGAGTTCAGGGAAGATGTGTCGCTATTTCGATGGCCATCTTCTCTCTTATGTTTTATAGTTATCATATTTGGACCTTGGAACCAATTTGTTTTCCGACCTTAGACCCAAATTTGTTGAAAACTTTGAGTACTCTAAATAAAGTGGATTATGTACTAGTCGTCATTATTCCATATTTTACCATTATTACACTTCTGTGTCTTATACTATTTAAAGTGATAACATACAATTTGCATAACAGACAGTATAATAGATCAGTTCTAGAAAGGCCTTCTAATGTTTAATTTCAATTGAACATGAATTCGAAACGATGCCTCTGGTCATTGTGGTTGCTGTAGCAACAATTGTCCTAGGACTTCTTAATAATATTTGTCGAATTTTCGAATTTAAATCGTTAGTGGTCATAGTGGCAACATTTTTATTTCATACATCTTTTATCTGTACGTTCTTCCTCTATGTGATGACGTCAGAGAAATTTCGAGACGAACTTGTTGACCTTGGTCGTCTGATTATATTCCATGTCTGCCGACCATGTCGATGTAATAGGCATGATACAGTGCCTAACTCCAATACAGGCAACCAACATACAGACGATATCCATGAGTTCCACTTCATTATTGAAAGTTCTGCGTGACAGACTTTATACTATACAAAGAACTGTTTTGCTATCTAATCAAATTTTAAATCTTCAATATTTAGTATGGTGGCTCTTTAGACAGTTGATTATTTGACTTAAATAAAGTAATGTGAACTGTATACCGCACTTTATTTTCGTAAGTGATACTGTTAGCCTACTCTTATTCGCGTGTGAGAAATATCGGCGAGTGGAATCTCTTTAAAATTTTCTGTAGGATTCTTATTTCCCTGTCTAAAGATGATGGTATTCTGAGGTTTGAAACCTGACCCGGAACTGTCACTACGATGTCCTCCTCGTGTTAAGTCCTCTCAGCTTCACAGTTCTTAATGCAGAGATTTTTATTCCTCTCACTTTCGGATGAACAGTCACTTTCTTGAAAATTGTTTGCATGATAGGCAATGAGACTTTCAACCTCGCACTCATATTCCTTTCATGTGCATTGTGCAACGCATTTCTTAGAATTTTCATTGACTTTTGGTTGATATTTGTCGACATTCATGCTGGTACTTATTGGTGTATTGGTCGTTGGAGGGTTTACGCTGGTGCTGGTGGTATATTGGTTGGTCGTTGGTGGATGAGAATTGACTACTGTAAACCAACTTTTATTCGCGACGACTTTATTTCGCGATTTACCGGGCGTAAAGTAGTTCGCGACGATTAATTTTCGCGACCAAGCCTTTTGGAACTCTTTTTAATAGAAAAAGAGACGGTAAGGTTCCATTCGCGGCGAGAAATATTCGCGATGACGAGACTCTCGCGAACCTCGCGAAAATTTCTCGCACGCGAATAAAAGTTGGTTTACAGTATTTTCTCAGATGACAATTTGGTAAAATTTACAACAAATACATTAGGAGACAGTGGTTTCGCATTTTGTCACTTTTCACTGGTTACATCACTTTTTACGGAGGTTACATTTCTCACAGGAATATTATGCTTAAGATCTACCATGTTATTGGAAAAAACACTAGAATTGCCTAGGTAGGCGAAATTTTGGATACACAAAGTTGTGCAGAGAAGACAAGCTGACAGAAGACCTGATTTGTTATTAACAGAAAATCTTTGCGGTGGAATATGAAAGTGAAATATAAGTGACAAAAATGATGTGTGACTTATTATAATATGTAAAACTTTGAAGGACTTATAAAGGAAGACTTGAGATAAGGGGTGATATTTTGCTAGAGGATTTCATTCAATGCGGATCTAAACCAGTTGAAAAGAGGTCATAATTCAAAGGAAAATTGCTGCGACAGTGTATATTTTTTGGATGGAGTTTTGTCTTTCATAATTATTTTGAATATTTTTCAGAGATTGAATAACCCCCTCCCATTCTGGGATGGAGACACCCATACCAACACATAAGACCATAATGGATTCCTCAGGGCCATTATTTGTATTGTGAGCTGCACTGTACGCCCGATCGTGGAAGTTGCGTGCAAAAGTGACATTCTTAGGCAGTGACCACCTTAGACGTCTATTGAAGATTTCCACTTTCTGCGTATTGGTATTAAGAATATATTTGTCTAACACCCACGGGGCATGCCGCCTATTGACACAGGTCCTGAGAATCCTTGCATTGGCCCTGGAGTATGGAATTTTGAAGTTTCCATCAAGGTAAGCACTTTTAGCGAGCCAGTTTTTTCCACCCTTGCATACTAGAGTGTATTTTTTGCATAAGGCATGTTCACCAATGTAGCAGCAAATTGTATAATCACTCACATAGGAGATTTGCTTCAAAATTTTGCTTGCATGATCTGTGCATTTTATTTGCGACTGATTTATATCACCAATGCATATGTCTGTAAAATCTATAGCAAAGTTATGCAGCAGTTTGGTTCTTTTAGCTTTAGTATTCTTAGACATAATTTTTTGTAAAAATTAATCTTGTTTGATGGTCTTTCTGACATTTTCAGCAATACGTCGAGTGTCGACAAAATGTTGTGGTTCGTTTCATAGTTTACTCTTGGCAAACAAAGACTCTGTAGCCTTGAATATTGTACTGTCATTGTCTGACGTAATGTCCTTGACATTTAAATCATTTTCGAGGATGTCTTCTTCGCCCTCTTTGGCACAGGTGAATTCGTCAACAGTGTTTTCGGTCAAGGGTTTATTTATCCCACATGTCTGCTCCTTGCACAAATGGCTTGGATTCTTGTTGAGGTGCTGTCGCTTGTGACATATCTTGTTTTGGTAACTAGAGATATCATCTCGTGACTACTGGTCACATGTTTTGCAAGTGAGAAGACTGTCTGAATGGCAGATCTAGACTGGAAGGGGGTTCCCCCCACCCAGGGTAAGGGAGGTATTGTACATCCCATCGCAATGAATTACTATAGGTTGTTTGGATCCCCCCCACAATTTATTGATATTAACTAATTTCTTACACCTTTTTCCATATCACTTTTTTCAATAAACCTACTTTTTGCATGACGGCGTTACTTGTTTTTTGTAGTGAAGTCTCGGCTGGGGATGGAGTGTTTGTGGCATAAGAATTTTCCGTAGTGATGAACTGCCAATGGGAGTTTGACTTAGACCTACTTGTAGGCCATAGTTTGTAGTTGCTGCTTTCCCTCCTCTAGCATTGGATTACACTTCAACATAGAGGTTGTACATTTCTGACACGTAAGGGCACCTGCTGCATTTTAGCCGCAGCCGAATACCCAGGCTATGCCTCTCATAAGACTTCATGTCCTAGGTCAGTTTGCCGTCAAAGCCTGGACTGGTCCGCCCATGTTCTTTAAAGCTGTATTAAACATCTCACTTGTCTTTCCGAGATGGAGAAGTCTCTGGGAGTCTGAATCACACCTGCCAAAACCAGTTTTTTATCTCTAATTATCTCCTCACTTGCTATCCAGGTAAGTTAATTTTCAGAAATAAGAGTTACCGGTACTTCCCTCAGACTATACTGGTTTTCAGAGTTGACACAAAGGGCTTATCTTTTTCTCAATATAAATTATCAATTTTAAAGAATACCACAATAATTAAGAGAATTAATTAATTATGAGTAAATTAAGCTGATTAATTTGACAGGATCTTAGGTATGCACCTTATTTCAGCCAAATTGGCCTTAGATAGGGCCGTATTTTAATAATTAGAAAAATTATGTACTAATTAAAGAGGTTTAATTTCATTATTTAATAAATGTTAAAGAAGTCTAGTTTACTCCAGGGAATCGGCCTGCATCAAAGCCTCATAATCCTCTTCCTTTCTCAAGGGTCTTGCAAAAATTGGCCACAGCAACCGTTGACACTAACGCCGCAACTTCATTTCCTGCTGCTCACTTAGAAAGAGTGGAAGTCTGACCAGTTACAGGGTTTCCCGGTTTTCTCTTGTAGCAGGTGAGTTTTCTCCTCTTCAAAGTAATTTTCCCTTGTTGTGGGGCACAAATTTTAGGTTAAAACAATAATTATTCCCTTTTTTAAATTTTCCCATCTTTGAAAAATGACCGAAACTTTTACTATTGATACTCACTTGTGATGTGCTTTTTCCATTGCTGTATCAGCATCATGTCAAGTTTATGTGTTATCGTGCAATAATTTATAATCATGATAGGAATTAGCCAGCAACCCTCACTGCAAAATGTTGGTGAATTGAAGGGGTAATGATTGTTTTACTGCTACAGAGAAATAACACTACTAGATAAAATTACTTCTCATCTCTTTTGAATACCGTCTCTTAATTGGCTGTCATCTGCTTTGTGATTTCATTTTGAATTGTAAAATTAAATACAAGTTGGAAAGATTTTTTTCGAAATAATTTGTTATTTTTATGTTGTTTTTTTAATGGGGTACACTATACCCTGGATGTGAAAATTACATGTAATCCCTCAAATTCTCTTTAAAACATAAGAAATAACACTGTTAGTCAGTTTATTACATATTTCATTTCAATAAGCATTAAAAACAGTCAATATAAAGTTCATTTTCAATACATCTTCATATCAAATTTGCATTCATTTTGAATAGAGGGTTACATTAGATAGACAATTTAGACGTGATTTACATGTTTTAACATGTAATTTCTTCATGTTACATATTTTACATGTACATGTACAATATACATGTACTTGTTATCTAAAAATGTCAAAATGACCACTTTTCACTTTGTTATCCATTTGATTATAGAAAAATACGCCAGAATTGCCTAGGCTCAGCTGCAGGGGGCCAACATTTTGGATACCCAAATTTGTGCAAAAAAGAAAAGCTGACAGGAGTCCTGATTGGTCATTTATAGAAAATCTTTGTGGTTGAATTTGACAGTGAAGTATAAGTGACAAAAATGAGATGTGACTTATAATCATATGTAAAATGATATAGGGCTTATAACCTGTATAAAGGAAGACTTGAGATGAGTAGTGATATTTTGCTGGAGAATTTCATTCAATGCGAATCTAAACCAGTTGAAAACAGGCCAAAATTCAGAGGAAAAACGCCACGGCAGTGTATATTCTTCGTGGTGGAATTTTGGAGAAGGCCTAGGGGTGTTGCATTTTGCTTTATAGTGACTAATTTTTTGAAAAGTGATTATATAATTATAAATAAATGACAGTGGTTTGAATTTGTATGGAAGTCTATGGGAAAACCTTTGATGGAGTTTGTCCTACATGTACTGCAGCAATCTAGACAATAGAACATATGCTCAATGGGTTTTACACGGGTCCATCGAATGCCTTTGTCTTGGCATATCGCAGTTACTAACTTGTTATAACGAGATAAGTAATTCATTTTAGCGAGATAACTAACTCGTGATAACGAGATTATTTACTCGTTAAAAAAGAGATACTATAACTCATTATAACGAGATAAAACTAAGTCGTTATAACGATTAAGGATTAGATCGGAAACATATCATTTCATAAATAAGAATGTTCTATTAAGTATATTTAGAATAATATTTTTTACAATTTCAAATACATATTGTGTTTATTCAACTCATGTTTTCGTTAAACTATCAATAAAGCACCAGTTAGACATTTTCTTATTGAAAATTGATCAATTAATACATTCTAGGAGGAAAAACTATACAGTTGGTAGGTATCCTGACGTTTGGATTGATTAATTGTGTGTTGTTTAACGTCCTTCTCGAGAATTATTCACTCATATAGAGACGCCACCACTTGCAGATGGAGAGCTGCAAATTTTGACCTAAACTCGGCACTCAGGGCCATTGAGCAGGGAGGGATCACTTTCGTGCCAGCACCTACAGCGAAACGGGACCTCGGTTTATACATGTACGGTCTCATCCGAAGGGCCGGTTTCCGGGTCCCACAGTGGGATTCGAACCCGCGACGTAACGATTGACTCCTTACATCGCGAATCTAGAGCAGACGCTCTAACCACTGCATCACGACATTTGAAAAAACTGTATTTAATACACTGTACTTATTTGTACTTCGCTTGCTATTTAAATTATATACATGTATATGCAAATACATGTATACAGAAATAATACATGGTAAAAAAAAAGAGCTTGTGATAGCAATGCAAAACTTCTCGTATAATAAAATTGTGAGATAAAAAACAGCATTCATGTACAAAAATTCATTGACGAATTGCCACAGAAGAGAAAATATCAGCATTTGAAAAAACTTTCTTAGATTTAAAAGATTATCGCATCATATGAAACAAAATCTTAATTGCACAAAAAGATTTTAATTTTAAGCTTCATTTTGAGAATTGTTTCAAATGAAATATATGAATACGAATGACGAATGGAATCAAGGCTCAAAAATCCATTAAACAACACAAATTTGGAACAGAGCAAACTTAGACTTTGTAAACATCAGAGGTGTGATCAGGCACCATGGAGTAGTAAGAATCCTTTGCCGACCGGTCACTCCAGTCGTACGCATGAAATGGAAATAACGAAAAAATCCGTCGATTATTCAGTATGAAAATTATGGATTAACACTTGAATGTAAAACGTCGGTCATCAATTGACTCAATGATAGATTGTATATATATACTGAAAAATTCATTGTATCGGCCATATAACTTACGAAATGATGCATTTAAACGAGGCTGCTGATATTGTATTAGGAACTTACCTGTCAATAATCTACCTTATTTTAGAAATTGATCATAAGTGAAATATGCTCTTGAATATTGAATCAACTGAGAAATATAAACCCCTTATGTAGGTGATGAAACTATATTGCTGCGTAAGTAAGGGAAGTTGACGATTGAAAAGTTAAAGTCATCACGTTTATCATTAAGCTTGGTTGTTAGATTACCTTAAATGTCTTTTTCAAGTAAAAATTCCAAATGATAAATAGATGTATCAGATTCTGTGGTATCTTATTTTAATTTCCGGGATATCTCTTATCAACATAAGACTGGAAATAACCATTGTTTATTGACAATACGTCATAGATATATTTAAATGTCGAGTTGATTGATAGACTGATTGATTGTTTGTTGTTAAACGTCCTTCTCGAAAATTTTCACTTTTATGGAGACGCCACCACTTCCCGTCGGAGAGCTGCAAATTTTGTCCTATACTCGGCACACAGGGCCATTGACTAGTGAAGTTTCTTTTTTGAATTGAAAGCAACAGCTAAATTTTTTTTTTCATATATAAGATTTTGGACAGAAGTACAAAAATAGGTCTGCTTATAGCAGGAGGCAACTGGTACCGATGAGATATCCCAATAGATTGTTGGAAGACCTGGTCTAAAAAAAAAAATTTCTGTTGTCAATCAGAAACTCAAGCATCTTTTTATATTAAATTCGGAGTACTTGTGTGTACATTGCACAATTAGAGTGTTTTAATAAAATAATTTTGCAAAGGACCATAACAAGGTATGATAAATTTACGAGTTCCATATTGATTGAAAAAGCAGTTGTCAACAAATATCAGAAAGCCTGGACTTTAATTTATCGTGGGGAATGGTTGTATATAAAGTTGAAAAGTCATGTTTTTATGTAGTTGATTTTGATAAACTTTTGTGATTTCAACTTTTTAAAAAGTTTCTTGAAATTTTTAAATATCTTAATGTAATTACATCACATCTCAAATATATTGTTGCACGGTACATCTGACGTTTCTCTTTCACTAATGTAAATATTTTAGTGAGGAGTAAAGAACGAGGCTTTTATTGATTCTTTTTGGGTGAAATCTGTAAAATCTTCATTATGATTTCAGAAATGAAAAATGACAGAATTAATATTTGGATGAAGATCAATTTTTTTCAGACATTGCATTTCACATTGCTTATCTTCTATCTCATATATGTCCTAATTAATTTCTTAGAACACATATATCAAATACTTTTATGCAAAAAACCCAACAAAGATGCACTCTCTTTTTAGTATTTAATTTTAAAAATGCATAATAATATTTGGACTTCAGAAACCACTATGAACAATATCGACTGATAAGATTTTATTTGCCGGTTTAAAATCTAGATTAAGCAAACAATCATACATGTAATTAATTGGTTCTGTGAGATTTCAAATACTTCTTCAGATATTTAAAACAGAAACCATAAAATATACAATGCTTTGTAATAACAATTTCTTATTATATCCTGTACTTTACACTTTATAAATATGAACAGTGATAGGTGTATCCACTTAGCCAGTGGATTTTTCTCTTTCAATTCGTCAATCATCATACGTTGCTGGAAACAAAACGTGCCCCGAATAAAAAAAAAGTTAAAGGACATCCTCCAATAAAATAAATTTGCCACTTGGAAATTTGTCTTTGCTAAAGATGCCGGATTAAATGAAAATGAATAATACATGATGAGAAATAAATTACGGTACTGAACTATATATGATGATATTTGAAGAAAAGAATTCAGGCTCAACTTCTACGGAGAAACAATGAAAGCAGCTTATTAATATGTGCACAATGCACAAAATAAATCAGAACAGTTTTTTTCTAGTGTGTAGAATTATCTTATTTACATTACCTGCAATTAATACAAAATGCGGTAAATAAAATTAGTGTCACATCATGCTTTTGCTTTTAAAATAGTATTTTTAAAAGGTTTTATGGTTAACTGTCATGGGACTGTCATTTTGTTGACCTCTACTACACAAGGTGATAGGATATCCTGCAACTAGAACTTCACGCATGTGCAACAAATGCTGTGATACATCATCAAAAGGACGTGACGATAATCTATTATGAACGAAGTAAAACTTGGAATCTCATTAACATAAAGCTGGGGAGTAAATACATTATTTATTTTTAACTTAGTAAATAATTTAAATTTTATTTTTTTCCATTTTATCTTTAAATTTATTACAAAAGGCTTGACCTGCCTATATACTATACTAATTTGTTGCTGGCAATGTCTTTCAAAATACTAAAGTAGATACTATTTTTAAACTTCATGATTTAGTAACAAACAATTTCTTCTCATTTGCATACTATAGATTCAAATAAATACGAATGTTGTGAGCCAAGGTCTTCGATTTAAGAACACATATTATAAATTCAGCACCTTACAAACTTGATATGAATGGAAAAAAATATAAATGTTGGTTAGATGCTGATTTTGACATTTAAATTACTTCTGTGTATTGTTAATTGTCTAAATCTGTGTTGCAGGATTAAATGAAATTTCAAAAAATGAAAAATGTTATTTCATTCGGCCTTTTACTTGACAATATTGTAAATCACATTAAAAGAAACTGTAGAAAACCAAGGTAAAATAAATAAATGCAGTAACGAGCTCTACGCACTTATTTCAATTTTACATTTTTAAAAGAAAACAATTTTATTCATGCAGAAATTTCACAACTGCATTTTTATCCAGTACAGAAGCTTCTTTATTTTAACACGTATATTGGTGAGGTAAATAAGACCTTGTACTGTTTTCCCTTTATTTCTTTGGGTTTGTTTCATTGGAATTTTAAGGTTGAAAACTACTTGCTATCACCACTTTTTATTTATGCTAAAACAAACTGCAAAAAGTCTTTGTGTTGGATAAATCTGATTTTATTAAGAACAGAACCAAGTTTTATCAAAGAGAATATGGCTAAATAAAGCTAGTAATGGTATACTTAATTATATTGCATAAGAATAGTAATATACATTATATTTTATCATATTGTATCATCCTATATTATATAAGTACTTTGACACGAATTTGTAATTATTACGTCAAAATAAATGTGTCCTATCAAAGCATGGGATATGAATCTACTCATAATAAGAAGCACATATTCTAACTTTTTTTTCTTCATATTTTAATCTAAACAAATGTAGCCGACTGATTCAGTACAATAGATGAATTATACTTTACATAGATAGGAAACATTCCAAAATAAAAACAGTTTATTAAATTAGATGTGATCTGGAATCTAATTATTTCTAAGACAAGAAAACAAGCAGTTTATTTTACCGTTACTTACAGAGCTTGTCAATCATCTTTTAAATTAATTCAATTATTACTTTTTCCTTCAGTCATTGCTTGGTAAATTAATTTTGTCAAGTTTATATATCTATGGGTAAACCTATATAACACATACTTTATAATTCGGAATAAATGATATATGCTCAAAATAAATTCAAATCTTTAAAAGATCTAGGAATAATCCTACTATGTATACTTGTTACGAATTATTAAAACGCGTATCATTTTTCTTATGCCTGACTCTATGGGTACCATACATGCACAACACTTCAAACTAGATTATTGTTATCTTCCTTTGATTCAAGATAAAGATACA